CCCTTTTTTTTTTTTTTTTTTCGGTACCGGGGATTGAACTCACGACCTTGGAGACTCCCTCCTCTCAACACATACACTACCACCCACAATTGAATGACGCAGTTAAAGTTTCAAATTTAAAATGTTCCTTGGGGTCAAGAATTTAGCTCAGTGGTTCCGCCACCTGCCTTGCAAGGGTAAGGTCCCAAGTTTGATCCCTGGTACCCAACCCCCCAAAAATGTTCCTGAATTCTGAGGTAGCTCAATGGGTAGAGCATTTGCCTAGTATGGGCAAGGCCCTGGGTTTGATCCCTAGCGTTGCAAAAAGATTGATGGAGAAATTAAATAAATATAAATATCCCATAAAAATAAGAATATAAATAAGTAAAAATATTTTTGAGATTTAATGTGAAAATCTGGGTTGGGGGAATGATAATTTTGGGGCCAATACAGATGTCTGCTAGTGATTAAGAGTTTCTCATTTCAAGTTTGGGCTGCTTCCCATTTCTATCCATTTGTGAACTGATCCTTCAAGGACTCAAAAAAAGAATCAGCTCTTAGAATTAATGTAATTGTGGATATAAGTAGGCAAAAGAGGCAAAATGATGTAAGAGAGCAGAAGTAGCTGGGCTGAAGGGCAGGGGCCCAGGCCTTGCCCTCCTGTGTTCCAGGAAGCATGTTTTGAGCTTCAATTTGCTCTATTTGTAAATAGGAAATATTGGGCAACATGATCTTTAAGGATTGTTCCAGATTTAAAAGTCTCATTCAATAACTTGTAGGAACTGGGTAAAAATGAAATATGAAGATTAAAAGCAGCAGAAAAAACAACAAATACATTGGTCCTGGATCATTTTTCTGAAAAGCATTCAGTGCCTCCTAGCAGTGCCTCATTTGTGTACACTTTGGGGCACTTATTGCTGACATTCCTTTCCTAAAAGGTGGAAAATCCATGGGGAGAGATTCCCAGCAGGTCAATATGTTTCATCCACCCTGGTTCCAGCCTCTTGATGGTGTAGGATTTGAGGAGAGGTAGAGAGGGCACCCCTGCCCAGCGCATGGCACTGACCCAGGCCCTGTAGGTCCATGCCCTGTACTCCTTGGCACTAAGCCATGTGAAGCTGGCTCAAGGTGGGGGTGGCTCTGTCCCAGGCTGACCCTTTGCCTGCAGAAGTGGGAGTGTCCTTTAGAACTGGGACCCTACAGAAAGCTGCAATGCTGTAGGAAGATCCACAAGGAATTCCTTTACGTTCTGGTGGAACAGAGCGCAGCTCTGCTGGGGTAGGGTAGGCAGAACCAGAGCTGGTCTGCTGCTCCACTGTTCCCACGAGCCACCTGTAGGTGTCACTGCTTGGGTGGTGGAAGAGGAATGAGGTCTAGATAAGCAGAGAAGAGAGAAATCTTCAGGAGCAATAGAAATTTACTCAATTTTGCCTTTAGGACTTCAGTCATGGTACAGACTAAAAGGATCAGAATTTCATTATTTTTAATTTAATTTTATTGTTTTGGATTTTGAGATAAGGTCTTGATATGTAGCCCAAACTGGCCTCGAACCCGCGGTGAGCCTCCTACAGGCGTGCCTCCCCATACCTGGCCAGGATCAGAATTTCAAGAAGCTTTTTTAAAAGTACTAATAATAGGAAATTTAAAAAATCTCTGTGTGTGTGTGTGTTGTGTGTGTGTGTGTGTGTGTGTGTGTGTGTGTGTGTGTGTGTGTGTTACTGGGGATTGAACCCAGGGCCTTCACACTTAGCTACAGTCCCAACCCTTTTTTATTTTTTATCTTGAGACAGGGTCTTGCTAAATCACTAAATCGCCCAGGCTGGGCTCCAATTTCTATCCTCCTGCTTTAGCCTCCCAGAAATGCTGGGATTACAGGCTTGTGCCACCATAACCAGCTCAAAGCTAAGTTTACGCTGTAAAGATTCAAATTTTTGAATTGCACAACCGACCTTGAAGAACCTGGTTGAGGAAATTCTTCATCATGTAGATGGCAGTGGTGTCTTCTGTCTTCACATGACTGTCTGTGAACCAGCCATTCTCAGCAATCAAGATTCGAGGGTTGCCATATTCCAGTTTAATCCAGTTCAGCACTTGTCTTAAATTGAGTGACACATTTTGCCCCATTTTAGCCATGGTGTTCGGGGGTTTGAAATTGTTGGGTCCGAAGGAGAAGGCAAAGAAGTCCGCGGTGCCCCTCACCTCCCCGCTCTCGGCTTCTGAGAAGAGCGGCAGGGCTGTTCGCAGCGTCTCCCGCATGCCCTCCGGGTAGTCCCCGCTCCCGTGGATGGGCCCGGCAAACCAGCCGAGCACAGACGCCAGGGACTGCTGGCACTTAAGGACATCCACCAGGCTGCCCGACTTGTTGGGCTCAATCCAGTGTGATCCCAATGTGATCGAGAGCCAGCCCTTCTGACGAGGGCGGAAATTTCTGTTGTAGTTATGCCAAACTTTCGCGTGAGCCTAGGAAGAAGAAAATACTTATTATTGCTCGGCCTGGTCCTCACTCACAAGGGCTATAATGTGGCTGGTAGGAAGTCTTCTCATGGATGTCATGAATGTTGGACTGTTTTGTTGTTTTTGTTTTGTCCCCCCTTTTCAGGACAGGCGCTCTCTAAGTAACCCAGGCTGGCCTTAAACTTTCAGGAATCCTCCTGCCTCAGTACTAATATTACCGATGTGTGCCGCCATGCCCCCCTTTTTAGAGGGGGCGCTTGCTAAATTGCCCAGGCTGGGCCGAAGTTTTGATCCTCCTGCCTCAGCCTCTCAGAGCGTACAGGCGTGTTCCACCTCTCCTGGCTTCATGGACAAAATTAATGAAGCAGAAGCCCAGGCCAGTAATCCCAGCACACGGGAGGTTGAGGCAGGAGTTTCGCTGTGAGTTTGAGGCCAGCCTGGGCTACAGTTCAAGGCCGGCCTAGACTACCCTGTCTCAAAAAACTAAACAGTTAATGAATTTTAAGATGAAGTAGGAGACCCCTAAAATTCTCGAGCAGGAGCTGGCGTAGGGGCTGCCTGACTCCTCTCTGCCACGCTCCGTCCGCGGAGGAGGCAGGGCCCAGAAGGGGACCGCGGGACGCAGGGTCTTCCGTGCAGAAAGCGGCTGCGCCTGCGCACTCGCCCTGTGGGCCCGGCTAGGAAGTCGGCGACGGCAAATGGAGACACCCCCGGGTCTCTTGTGAGGGTTGAGTGAGTTCACCCGAGTGGCTTCAGGACTGCGTCGGGCCCGGTGCTAGCTCTATATGAGCGTTAGAGGTCCTGACGGTCACCATGTAAGGCGGCAGCCTCTGAGCAGAGCGGGAAAGCGACGGAGAGCATGGGCTTGGCGTCAGCACAGTCACAGCCCGCGGAGCCCTCTTAGTGAGCTCGGAGGAAGAGCGACGGTGCTCCCCTGGTGTCCTTCAGAGGTGGGTGTCGGTTCAGAGCCACCGTGTGTGTACAGGATGCGTATGGAGTACGTGGGAAGCGCTGTACTGCGCACAGTGGATGTCCCAGGGCCTCCCGTAGCCTGCATTTTCAGTAGAGGTCTCTATGACGGAGCCTAGGGACTTTTTTTGGACTTGGAATTGAACTCAGGGCTACTGAGCTACATCCCCAGCTCTTTTTTTTTTTTTTTTGAGTAAGGGTTTTGCTAAGTTGCTGGTCCCAAATTTTTGATTCTTCTGCACTAGCCTCCTGAATAGCTGGGATTACTGGGTACACCACTGCATCTGACTATGAGCAGTGAATTCTAACCCAATAGATCCTTGGGATCTGAAAACGTCCCATGAATCTTGTTACGGCAGGGAAAGCAGCCATTGATTTAAGGGCTGAGGACCCCAAAACTGGTGCTACCTTGCTTTACGCAGGAAAAGCATGTTTCGATCATTCCCTGAAAGATTTTCTGGAGGAGTAGTGGCCTTGCATTACCTCTGGCCTCTGGTCCTTACTCAGTTTATTGGCAGGTCTCAGAATCATTTAGTTGCCAAATGTCCCCAAGGATCATTAGGAGTACTTTACTCTCAGAGAAGTGTTCAAGCTATGCTTTCCTTCCTTGCCCCCAGCCTGCACTTAAAATTGCTGGAAGGAATCACAGGGGCTCAGGACGGCTGCGTATTATGGTCTTGGACACTTTCTGGGCTTTTCCGGGGGTCACATCAGAAAGTCATTAGAGCAGGGTTTTTGTTGTGGTGGTGGTTGTTGTTTTGTTTGTTTGTTTCTTTTGTTGTTGTTGTTTTGAGACAGGGTTTAACTATGTAGTCGATACTGACCTGGAACTCACTATGTAGCCCAGGCTGGTCTCAAACTCACAGCAATTTTCCTGCCTCAGCCTCCCCAGTGCTGGGATTACAGGCTTGCGCCACCACACCTGGCGTTTGTTTGTTTCTGAGACAAGGTCTCTTATGTAATTCCGACTGGCCTTGATCTCCCTATGTATCTCACTCAGGCTTGCCTCCGACTCAGGAATCTTCCTACTTCACCCTCCTGAGTGGTGGATTGAGAGCTGCTTCCTTTCCTTCCTTCCTTCCTTCCTCTTCTTTCCTCCCTTCCTCCTCCCCTCCCTTCCTCCTTCCTTTTTTCCTTCTTTCCTTCCTTCTTTCTTTTCTGATTCAAAACAAAAGCAATCATGCATTATCAGACCCAGAGGGGCATTCTTTGCTTTATTCTAAGTGGTCACTGGATCCCTTGATGCCTTTAGTGTTTTTGGCCTCAGGAGACACACTGATCACCAGCTCTTCAGGGAAGTGGTGCACCTCCAGCACTGAGCCCTGGTCGGAGCTGAGCCACAGAGCAGCTGTCCAGCAAACAGGATGCCCTCAGACACCGAGGGGAGTGTAAAGTGGGGCTAGGAGCAGTGCAGATGGGAATTAGCTCAGTCCTAATAGGAATTCACCAGCCTACTGAGAATCCAACAGGGTGAGTTTCTTCAAAATAGATGTTCTAGTCGGGTGTGGTGGCACACGCTTGTAATCCCAGAACTCAGGAGGCTGAGGCAGGAGGATCACTGTGAGTTCGAGACCAGCCTGGGCCACATAGTGAGTTCCAGGGCAGTCTGAACTACATAGTGAGACCCTGTCTCAAACACACACACACACACACACACACACACACACACACACACACAAACCAAAATAGATGTTCTATTGCATGTCTAGAGATTCCATGGAGTATGACCAGAGTTGTGATAAATTCTTGCTTACATGGGCATTGGAAGGAGAAGACTACAGTTTAGGCAGCAAGAGGCACTAGCTTTGAGCACCTGGATGCCTGCGTGCCGTTCTTGTCATAGCCCAAGGTGACCTTCGGGCTCCACCGTGTCTCACCTTGGCTGCTATTTGCACAGCCTATCGCGGGATCTAAGGTTATCTCTGTTCTGGGCCTAAGACAGCACTGCATTCTCCACAGAGAATGACTGGGTGATTCTGTCCCTGTGCGGTTATGACTTGGTCCTATCTGCCAAGTAACAGAGTGAAAGGTTTTGCCCTGAGATAGTGAGTTTGTAGCAGGGGTAGCTACAGATGTTCTCTAGATGATGCTTATAAAAAACTTCCGTGGGGACACTAGAATGGGATTGTAGAGCAACCTTGCACAGCAGCCATCCTACACATTTCCAAGGTCCTCTCTCTCTTGCACAAGGCTGTACCTTTGGGGTGACGGGTACAGGGAGCTGCAACCTTTGTGCTATACATTCAGAAGCTTAACCAGGTAGTGAGCTGCATCTTCTTCCTCTTGAGGCAGCGCTCGGGGCCTACGGTCTCATGTTCCCCTCCAGGCCCATGTGCTGCTCCCTTTGAGATCCCTGGAAGCCCATATTCAGATAAACTCTGTGCAAGATAGGAAGCAAATAAGATAGCAGGCCCAACTCAGAAGCAGAGATGAGGAGGTAGAGGTCAGCAGACGTGCTGTCCTGCTGGGACGGCTTTGAGGAAGACAGAGGGACAAACCTAACACATCACCCCAGAGCCCCCCGGGGGTTAAGTTTCCCCCCAGTCATTTATCAGAAGTTAAATTTTCAAATCTGTGTGTGTTTTTAGCTGAAGTATCTTCTGTGAATTGCAAGAGTGTCTGCTGTGAAAGCTATTTAATAAAGTTTTAAATGAATACTGTTAAAGAACATTTGTTTTAAAACTCTGCATCCCAACATCATACCAAATGGGGAAAAACTGAAAGTATTTCCTCTAAAATAAGGAATGAGACAAGGATATCTACTTGCACCACTCTTGTTCAATACAGGACTTGAAATTTTAGCCAGATCGATTAGGCAAGAGAAATAAATAAAGGGGATACAAATAGGAAAGGAGAAGTCAAATAATCCTTTTTTATAGCTAAGATGATCCTATACTTGTACTAAAGATTCCACCAAAAGACTTTTAGAGCTGGTAAATTCAACAAAGTAGTAAGATACAGAATCATTATAAAAAAAATCAATAACTTTCTGCACAATAATAATGAACAGGCTGAGAAAGAAATCAGGAAGTTCCATTCTCAGTGACTTAAAAAATACCTAGGAATCAGCCTAACCAAGGAATTGAAAGATCACAACAATGAAAATTATAGAACACAAAAGAAATTGAAGGAGACACTAGAAGATGGTAAGCCCTCCTATGTTCATGAATCGGCAGAATTAATATTGTTAATGTGGCCATACAACCAAAAGTGATCTACAGCCGGGCATGGTGGCGCATACCTATAATCCTAGCACTTGGGAGGCTGAGGCAGAAGGATCACTGTGAGTTTGAGGCCAGCCTGGGCTATGTAGTAAGTTAAGGATAGCCTGAAATTCTGTCTCAAAAACAAAAAACAAAAAATCAAAAGTGATCTACAGATTCAGTGCAATCCCCATCAAAATTCCCATGACAGCCAGGCTTGAGCCAGCCTGAGCTACATAGTGAGTTCAAGGCCAGCCTGAACTACACAGTGAGAGATCCTGTTTCAAAAAAACATCCTAGGGGGCTGGGGATTTAGCTCAGTGGTTCTGCCACCTGCCTCGTAAGCACAAAGTCCTAAATTCAATCCCCACTACCAAAAAACAAAACAAAACAAAAAGACAACCCCCGCCCAACCAACCAAGGGCCAGCACTGTAGCTCTGTGGCACTGGGCCTGCCTCACAAGTGCAAGGTCCTGAGTTTGATCCCTGGTACCAAAAAAACAAAAACTAAAAGAACCCCCCCAAAAACCCACCCCCCAAAATAAACAAAAACTAAAAACCAATCCTATAACATTCTTCACAGAACTAGGAAAAAAAAATCTAAAATTTATATGGCAACTCAACCAGAAAAACCAAAACAAACCTAAGCAAAAAAACAAAGACTAAAACAGCATAATAATTAATTTCAAATTATACCACAAAGCCATAGTAACAAAAACAGCATGGACTGGCATGAAAATAGACACGTAGCTCAATAGTATAGAATAGAGGACACAGAATAAATCTATGCAACTACAATCATCTGATTTTTTTTGGCACTGGGGATCGAACTCA